GGAGCGTGCATCATGACAGCACCGCTCCATTCCCTCTTCTCTGCATCTCAGCAAAGAAAAGCAAGAGAGAACTCAAAACACTCCTCGACAAGCACGAGAAGCTCCTATCCACTCTCAAATCAACATCACACACGCGTCTAGAATCCATCATGAGGCCCTCCTCATCTTCACAAACTGCCAGAGGAACGACACACGGCCCTGGCATGTACCTCAGCCGGTGGAACGCCCTTCTCGATAGCACGCTCATCTCCCCCGCCACCATCCACGGCCCCATCCGCAAGGGCTGGGAAGTCAAAGGCGAGCTTGATGGCAAGGGTCTCAAGACAAGCTCTTCCTTACTCGATAGAGCCACTAAGCGCGATAGAGTCAGCGCGATGATGGCAGAGGGCACGGGAGACAGAGTCGATCGCAAAGAACGCAAGCGAGACGGGCTGGAAGAGGAAAGCATGGAAGTGGTATGGGAAGGCATGAGAGATGGTTGGGTGGGGGTATGTCGGGGTCTTGAAATCATGGGTCCGGATTAGCATTTGTTCAAGCGTATAGTAACTAGCATGCGCCGTTGGACGGATTGTATGTATGTAGAGGAGACGTTTATCCTACACCGATCGATCGATATCGTTCGTATAAATATATTGGGCCGAGCCACATTGTGGCGTTTTTCGCAGTGGCTTAGCTGTATTTACGCATGTACACGAACGGGAAAACCAGATTTGTTTATCGGGCCTATTATGCCGTTTCTAGATTTACTTAGATAGTCAGCCACCTGTGCCGCCTGTGTGTTTTCCTTACCCGCACACACCACAGGCGAAATCTCCGAGACTCCCCGTCGCCGAGGGTAGCGGACGTGGGTATACGTAGGTACACTTTGTATGTGGTGCCGTCATTTCTCCTACTAATATATATATATACATGCGATTGTTTGGCTACGTTAAGTATACCACGCCACCGCTTTCGTCTCCGTTTTACTTGCTTTTATAGTAAGTAGGTAGTTACTCACATGCATCACATCACATCAAATCACATCATTTCACATTACCTACCTACCCGCCTATTCCAAAGTCGACCGTCGACCGTCAAACGTACAGTACACACCCAAGTAAGCGGAACCGGAACCGGAACTGGAACCACAATACTCCCGAACTTCCAGCACCACGCACCTACACCACGGAACAAGCTCGCTGACCCTGGCATCAATCTCCCCTTGGCATATTTACCTTGGTGGGGGGGAAAAGCTTCTTTTACCCCCCTTAGTCTCCTGTAAAGTAAGGACCTCGTGATTTGGTGGTTTTCCAAGGGGGTGAGACAATGTTCGTTATGCGACTTACTTTACGTGCGTAAGTACCGTATGTAGATGCTGTTTTGAAGCCTTCAGGGGGGGGGGGGGGGGGGGGGGGTTTAGTCCGTGGCGGAGGCGGAGACGGAGACACGGATGTAGGGACGGAGTGTGGTTCGGATGATGAGTTGGGCCGGTGATCGAGGGGATGGATGGATGGGAATGGGTGAGAGCTGGTGAGTGGGGGTATGGGGTTGGTGTTTGACATTGCGGTGTGACGATATCAGAAAGAGGTGTGTAGTAGTGGTATGTATATACGCAAACCATACCTTGTTGAGTGTGAGTTATTTTCTTTTTTTATTATTATTTCAGGCGTGGTGTAGATGCGTGTGTGCAATGCGTGTGTGTGCAATGGTTTAGTAATACATGTATGCTAGAAAACAAACCGCACGCGCGCGTGACAATAAGAAAAGGAGAAAAATGGCTATGATGTCGTGGTATCTTGAGTATGCAAAAGAAAAAGAAAAAGGAGAAGAAAAAGAAACGGGAACAGATAGGGAAAAGGAAGGGAATGTCATCTTCCATGTAACCTTGCGAACGCAACACCCACCACCCGGCAACCAACCAACGGAAAAGCCGACCCAAACCCCTTCTTTCATCAACCAAACCAACCCAACAAAAGAAACAATACGCCTGTTGTGTATATCCAAAATGCCTCCCTGCAGCACACACGCTTCCAAGTTGCAAGCCCCTCATCGTCTACTATGACATGACCGCCTTATGCAGCGCCTCCACATCCGGAACGCGGAAGCCCATTTGGCCGTCCTCCCACGCCACAGTCCCCACACTACACGTCCACGCTACAACCACCATGCGCGCGACAAAGGCAACAGTAGCCACATCAAGCGGCAACTCCATCTTGAGGACCTGCTCAACCTGCCTAGCTAGACTAGGTTCCTTGTCGCTGGACGATGCCGAGCTAGCGTCGGTGTGTACGGTGTGGTTTGAGATGGTACTTAGACGGTTGTTGGAGCGCCGACGACCGCTGGCGTTTGGTGAGAGGTGTGTATCCTTTGAGGCGGGTGTGGTTTCAGGTATCGGGTACGTGGTTGAGCAGATTGAAGTTTTTCGAGGGCTGGCGGTGCTGTGTGCGGCTACGGCTTGTTCGTAACTGCGTTGGAGTTCTACTTTTGTCGCTGTTTGCACGGCTTCTAGGATGTCCTGGCCTTTCATGTCTGGTACAAGGGCCATGAGGCGCTCGAGTAGTGTCACGTACCGTGACATGCGGGCTGTTTTGTCGGCGAGCGTGTCTGCTGTGCTGGCGTCGTTTGCGAGTCTGCCTAGGCGTTCGCGCTCGCGGTAGAGTGCACCGGCGTTCTGGGGCTCGTATAGCGGCCCGAATATGTTGTGTTGAGGCGCGTGGCGGTGCACTTTGTCGACTAGCCCCTCTAATCGCTGGAGTAGCTTTCCCTGCGGTAAGCCGGCCGACGCGATGAATCGTATCGTCTTGATTAGCGGTGCTGAAGCAAGAGGTGCGAGACCTCCTGAGAATGGCAGTGCTGCGATGGCGTCTAGTAGTGTTGTGGAAGGTTGTACTTCGGTCGATGTAGCGAGGATGTGGAATCTGGACTCGCGCGAGCTGGGGAGCGAGGCAAGGAACTTGGCTTGTGGTGTGCGTGCGACGTATGGGTGGGCGTACAGGGATGCGCCGGCTTGTAGAGCTTCGAAAGACTCCTCGGTGATGAGAATGCTGTAAACGCCAATCTTGTCTTGTGAGTATGGCAGAGAGCCGGCGGCAAGATGCTTTGCGAATAGTGGTGAGACGGCTGAACGTTGAGCATGCCGCCGCGATCTACCCATCTTGTTCTGTTGTAGGGTAACATGGTACTTGCACTTGTCCGTCGATTCGGTCAGTATGGAGATACCGTATGCGCCCGCATCCGACGAGTCCTGAGTAGTGTTTCCGGTTATCTCTGTCCCAAGAATAATAGAGAGCGCTGCGAGTTCTGAAGGCGTGACCTTTATGCTCCACAAATCGTCCTGGTACTTGGCAGTTTGGCCCTCTCGGACCCAGGACTTTTGAGAAGCCTTTTGGGTACCAGCGTCTGGTAGTCCACTACGCATAGAAACGAAGAGAGCCGCTGATCTCTTCACTGATAACGCTCTTGTCAAACCCATCTCTGCCGCCGATAGATCCAAGCTCTTCCTATTCAACTTTATGCTACTATCAGGCCGTCTGTTCATCACGGACCTCGTGCGACCAACGCTGCCGCCAAGCGCAGGTCTAGCAGTGGGTCTCTTCATGTTTGCAAGAAACTTGGTCATGTCCCCAGGGTACGAAGCTCGTTCGGCTCGAAGTTTGTCGGCGAAAGCATTGTACAAGGTCTCGAGTGGTATTGGTCCAGGGGTGCCCTGGAGATTGGCGAACAACGCGGAGGAAAACAGACCCTCATCCCCGGCTTTGATGATGCCCGACAAACTTGGAACCCAATAAATCTTGTTTACATCGCTCTTTGGCGTCACCAGGCGTTTCCAGGCGCTCGATATGTGTGAAAATTGGACTTGTCGTTCAGTCTTCCCGTCGGCGGTAAGCGGCTTGCCATCTGCACTGAGCATGTCCTTTTCCGTCACGGTAGGTTTTGCGTGTCTGGACTGCAGGAAGCGTGTAACGAGTGCCATGGCAGCTAGGAAGAAGACAAGAGGAATGACGGAGGCTGCAACAATTTCGTTTGAACGCATGGTCAGTAGGCGGGCGCTGTACTTTTATACAGATGTAGCTGGTTGTTGGTAGATGACTGGACCCTTGTCGATCGGCCAGGGCCCAAGGCCAGGCCCAATCGGACATGTGGGAAGCTGCCACTCAAGCTTCGAAATCGCGCTCTCGGACGAGCTGGCTGCCGTTTCCTTGCAGATGAAGATACCAGGACCAGGATTGCGAATGAGCGCAAATCATGCCTCCTTGAGCTCTTCTCTGAGCGCTTCGCTCCGTTTCGTTGGTCACATGTCCTGACCGCGAAAGTAGGGCGCCGAATGTCGAGTGATTACAAACAAAGTTTACACGTTTCTTCGTCCACCAGTACCCTTTGAGAAGATGTTCAGTGGCTGTTTGGAGCCAATTGCAAGCTACACAAAGCATCATGTCTGACCGTTGGTTGCCTGTGGCCGCCAGTAGGATATGTATCTGGCCCCCCAGCCTGAGGTAAGATCTGGACAAGACGGTCAAGCAACGCAAATCGTGACGTTCCCACAACCCCACAGGCTGCAGCAAACCTTTGCTCGCCAGTCCTGAAACTCTTATGCCCTGCAGATGGGTAGATCACTACGGACGGTCGGATGGCGACGGCATCGTCAAAGGCTTGCGCACTCGGATCCTGGAACACCAACCTTGCGGGCGAAGATGACGATGACGAAAGGGCCTTGGGAGCGGTCAAAGCGACCGTAGACGCGGGACCGTTGCAACGCGACTTTAGTGGTCGCAATGCCATGTGCGTGGTCGCGAGATGAGACATGTCATGCAAGACGCCTTGCAAGCTGACAACGAAGAGGTGAACCTTGCAAAGTAACGTACGCTAGGAGAAGACGGTCGCAGCCCTGTGCCTGTCTGTCAATCCGCATCTCTCGACTGTCATCATCGTTCCCATTCTTGGCAAACAGGCGTGCTTCATTTACTGTCCGCTCCACAGGCAAGAGAAAAAAAATTGATTTCCGATATGTGTGGTGTGGTTTAGCATGTGGAACCTACATCCGAGCATGCGGATGCTCGCAGTCCGAGAGACCCGACGGCTTCAACTCGGTGATCGCCCGAGTGCCGAACAAGATAGCCACAAGATGCAGTCACCCGCAAATCCCTCCAAATACGCTCTGGTAGACGCCTCCAAATATACAGTACGCGTCTAGCCCGACCCAATCATCACATCAAGTCCATCTGTAGTGATGCGATTCGAAATTTGCTATGCTTCCATTAGACGCCGCTTAGAAATGATGCAGTGATGAGAATATAGCCATTCTAAATCTGAGCTGCTGCGCGAAAGAAACGTGGTTTTGGTCATGGGATTGGCGGTGCGCGACCCATCTCGTCGTGTCCAGATAATCGTATGACGCTGTTGGTGGCTCCATCGTAAGTCCTGATGAGTTCCTGCACTTTGAGAAGTGTCTTTTGTGCTTGTAAAACGGGTATGGGGTGATCAAAGACCAACAAGATCATCACACGTGATGAGGTCAGGGCAAGGTATCGCCTGATCCACATCGCGCTGGCTTCGGCGGGAGTTGGACGCTGTCGCTTCACGTCGAGTGTAGTAGGTGAACGAGCTGCAATCGCACCGACTGTGCAGACCCAGTATAGCACACCAGACATGTTTCCCCAGGCGTTGCTCAAATCGGTACGCTTCAGCACGTCATACAACGCATCGCTCAAGCGACTGGCGCGCAGATGTCTGCCCGCATCGGGGCTGCTGAAGAACTCAGTCTCAATGGCCAGTGGATTGCGGCGGGGGTCCGCAGTCACAGAAAATGGTAATCGAAGGATGATAGACGCAGTGTAGATTAGCGCCGCAAGTCGGCATGCTTCGTAGATCCAATCGTTGGATGTTTTGAGGCCAGGGACGTAAGCGGAAGGCAACGAAATCAGCCGTTTCCGTATGCCAGCAGTATCGGACTTGTAGTCACTAGCCATAGCCCTAGTAGCTTGGCTCGTGCCAGATGTCTTGTCATGTAAAAGGAACAAACTGGTCAAGTCGCGCATGTCTCGTAGTAGTGCACATGTAGCTGTTGCGCAACCCAATTCGTCGGGTATAGTCGCAAAATCTGACCATGGACAGAATATTGGCGACTCTGGTATCCGACGACCATGTTTAACTGCATCATATTTTGGGGGCTCCCAGAGTCCGAATACCGGTAGGAGCTTCGTTTCGCAGATGAGGTTAATTTGATAGAAAACCCTAGTAGCAATATGAGTATACACATTCGCATGAAGAAACTTGAACTTACGCTGCACCTACTTCGGCAACAACCGAGTTTCCCAAGCCATCCAACCCACCACGCTGTGTAACTAAATGCGCGATACCAGACTGGTGAGTCCGAAGTGTCTTCTCATTACAGCTCCACAACTCACCAGCAAGCAGATGCAGCAAGACCATAAGTGTTGTATCATCAAGCTGTGTGTCAGGATGTGCTAGCCGCTCACTGGCAACTCCCATGGTTTCCATCTTGATAATGGTAGTGCGTGTACTCTCTTCTTGGCACCCAGCCACCATATCAATCCACGCAGAAGTCATGACATAGGCACTAAGCATCACGTCTTTATTCAAATTTCCCAGAAACCACTTGGAGATGAGTCCATCAGTCGCGAATTCTCGCATGCCTAGAGCTATTAGTCGTGTTTAACGGTGTACTAAGCAACGGGGTTGTACTTACAGATGCGCGTGAGGAGAACAGAGTCAACGCCTGGATTTTTGTATCGTGGTATTAGAGCAAATGGTTCGCCTGCGTCTCCGAAACAGTAGATAATAGACATTTTGCCCATCAGCTTGCGTGTTTGACGTTCTTCTTGTTTATCAGTGTACTCGTAGTTCACCACTCTGCCTGTCGCCCTTGGCATTGCCTTCCACCCCGGAGCGTTGCGCGCTATCTGCTGGTTACACGACTCATCATAGTCAACCGTGGAGTTTGGAGTTGTGTCCTTGCTTTTTCCTTTGCTTTCAGGCGTGGAATAGGCTGCCTCTTGTGCCAACCTGATGTACTGCTGATCACGTGGATTTTGTCTGAGCGTAACAGCAGCACCCCATGCGCGCTCCTCCTCATCGCTCGACGCGCATGTCAACACAGGTGAGATAGTTCCTAGCCCGGGCTCGAGTACGACACTAGAACAGTCCTGTTCATCTCTAGATCTGTCCTGTTCCGCGCCAGTCGGCCCTTTCTTCACGGACCCCTTTCCGCGTCGCCTTGGGTGCGCTTTCTCAGCGGTCAACTTGTTTGTGGCTGAAGTGATGATGGACCTGCTCCTGTGATAAATCATGGCCTGCGAGCGCACGCTTCGTTTTGCATCTGAGCCTCTGAAGTGCGAGAGATCTGTCGCAGTGACGAACTGGAGTTGGGGTGGTCCATCGCGTCTAGTAGCCCTGACTCGTCTCTCTTTGTGGGGAAGCTCTTTAGGCGGGTAAAAATCTACAGTCACAGATCAATAATGTTAGTCCCCACAGTAACATGTTACTGTACGCTTACCTGTATTCGAAGGGGCTGTGGGTGGCGCCATTTATGGGGTCAGCCAGATACCCAGGAAATACTTTATCTGCCTAAGGTACAAGTGACACCGTTCTGCCCACTATGCAAGGTGGAGACTCGGGCTGCGGGTATTAATAATTCCTTCATGCTGTCATCATCACAGCACGCCGAGGCGGACCGTATCTTCCGCAAGTATAATTGCTGACTGTCGCTTGCTAGATGCCACTTTCTTTTCCAGGAACGCACGGCTCACCTGCCGCATTTGTACTTGGTCTCATCGGCCCCCGCATCACCAAGATTGCAGATCGCGAGGCAACATCACTCTTGCTTCTCATTCCCACAACACTACAACACTACCACAACAATCAACAACGACAAATTCAGGCTTCAATCAAGACATATTCTCAGACCCTTTCGCCTAATCATCTACGCGCGAAGAGATGTCCAACCATCGCCCTCCCAAAGTCGCCCAGCAGCCGTAAGACAACGGATCCAGGTTTCTCTGTCGCCAAGCCATCTTCCCCAACCACGGCATGAAATAACGCTTGTCTTTCCCCTGATCTTCCTGGTGCTCCTCGATAGCTGTGCGCGTCAAACGACTCGGCCATGCGGCCGGGGTGGCCAAACATGTAATCACATGGTAATCTCACACCTTGCTTGAAATCAACCCAAGCACTATCACCAACGGCGTTTTTTACATACCTTGCCTCCTTAGTTTTTGACGCTCTAGTTCCCAGCGCTCTTCGTCGATCAGGTTCGATGCATTATATGGCGCTTGTGGTGGCGTATGTGGATGAATAGGCCACGGCACTGCCAGCGCCCGCGATCCTTTACCTCCTCTGTTCAACGGTCGGTAATTTAGTTCTGGTTCGATAAACAGGTCATGTGTAAGTTTTCGTGGGACTTGGTATCTTTCCTCCAGCTCAAAGCCATCTACATCGCCAAGATGGTGACTTGAAACGTAGCCGTGGATATTGATAGCGTTTTGGTACATATATCGGTGTGACCTATGTGTGTGGAACTGAGACGCTGGACAGATGGACTTGGGACTTCAGAGGGTGTTGATGTACGGCTCGCGTTTCCCGCAGTAGTAGTGAAGAGGGTGCTTCAATCGCCTTGGTTCCACGCTCTCGAGAAGCTATTTTGTGAGTTTTATGGTATCACTGACGTAGGCCTAGAAGGTCCATGGCTCATCCAGTACGTGTACTTGACTTGTTATGAGGCTACATAGCATAGCGATGGAGATTGGTATGCGGATCTGCACTTGAAAGCGGCTTCTGGGACGTTTGACTTCATTCACTATATCTGACGCCTGCACTCACCTGCTACTCCCAGAATTTGAGTACGCTCTGGTATGTGAATGGGACGATATGTCACGCGCGTTCTAGACAACACGAATGACCGTGTACGTGATGAGCAAATGACGTGCAATGCTTAGCTATGTAGTATCCGACCTGGAGCTGCCACGGCGGTGCGGAAAGAAGAAAGCTAGACAATGGCCGGGTATAGTATGAGCGTTCGCTTCATGGGTCATAGAGTTATGCTGAGCAATTTGAGTGTTGTTGTGGGACAGCACCTGCCGCAAACATAGATGCTGACATCATCCTCGACAGAGATGGTCGGATCGCGTTCACAGTCGGGCTGCACGTCCATGTTCGCGCTGGGATATTACATCTCTATTGCTACTCCATGGCACCATCTGAGGTTATTACGCCGTACTATGAGATTCTTAGTCAATACTCTAAAAATCGGTTAGCCACCTACAATCTCGCGGAGGAATATCTTACTATTCGGTCATTTCGTGTTACTATGCTTGTTGGTATACTACTGACAGACTCCGGCTTTCAAACAGCATCTCGTCCCACTCACCCTGATGTATATTATGCGTCATGAATGTTGCTAGTATTACCGACCTATTCTGTTACACTACTACCACAATCACTGGCCATTAGGGAGTTGGAAAATGCCATCTATCAGGGAAATCAAAAAGATGAATAACTAGTTAACTATATAGAGAATCGAAAAACCATTCATGACATATTGTTGACGACAACACTTCGGAGCGTTTTTGACTATCGCCTGCCTCTATATTCTTTCAAATATATATAGCCTCAGCAAAGCTCAAGCATACGCGCCTCGAAGTTATTCTGAAGCTTACTAATATACTCTAGTAACGTCCCAACCGGCCGCAGTGAATTCTTCTCAACACCATACTCAGTTTGGTCCATGGATCGCGCTGCCGCTAGTACCATTATTCCTCGCATAAGATCACCTCTTCTGAGGAAAGAGCCGTTCAAATTGTTGCCACCGCTTCTATTGTCCCGAGTCTCCATCGCTGCTTTACATTCTTCCTTGAAGACAACAGTCATGCGATAGAGTATATCATCAATGCACTGTAAGACGGCTAGTAATAACATGATACAGGCACTCTGGTGAACATGTGGGCACTGCACCAGCCGCTCACATGCACTGAAAGATGAGCGCATCGTTCCTAGCGTCTCGCAACTGACCATCTTTGTTGCGTCGTTGAAATCGTTGATGGGCGTCATGCTTTGTAGGGCATACAGGAGGCTGTAGATACAACTGCAATTTTTGACCTGGTTTCCATCACCCGGAAAGTTGAAAAAACTCTCAGGTGTCCAGTCAGGTTTTCGAGTAACCACATTGTCAGCTTCGTCGTTGCCGGGCGGTAGAAGTTGATGATAGTCGTTTGTGGGTATGTCTTGATTTGTTGCAAAGTCGAGATTGAAAAACTGTCTCTCGTTTGATTCAATGGAGAAAGGCGTGTTGCATGACTGGTCCTCTGAGAGTGGTGTGGTAGGCTCAAAGGCCACATCTAAGCCTGTAATCACTTGTAAGATCAGCCGATGAGCGAGTCGCTGTTGGTTGAAAATGGCTACCTGAGCCGAAGTCTACCTCAGGCGGCGTGAAGTGTGGAATATCATGCTTCGACTTCTTCCTCGGACGTCCTGCGCTTCGATGGACAGAATATGTGCACATGCGCTTGTCGTCGGTACATCTTTGACATTTTGGCGTCCCTTTGGAGCAAGCTAGTTTTCGGCGGGAGCATTGGTCGCATGCATTTATTGGAGCGTGGGGGTAGTTGCGTTCCACAAAATCTCGTTGACCATTTTGTTTCATAGTTCGGCGTGCTATGGCTAAGGATTGATTGAAGCGGACCGATTGGCACTCTATAAACAGGCCTTAATCCTAGAAATTGAAGGATAACAGTCAAAGTATCGTAAAAGAGAAGCAAAACGATATAAACGAGGCTATCTTCACGAGATCTGCGTCGTCAGGAGGTTTACGGCCCGGTCGGATCCGGATACGTGATGTACCGCTGAGTATCGGTAAGACCGGAAGGTTAAGGAGAACAAGGGCCGGTCGGGTTGTCCGTCAAATGAGGTAAGCGATAGAAAGGCCGATAGACTTTTGTTTCTGCGGTATGAGGAGGATGTAAAGTCGAAAAAGCTTAGTATAATTCTGTCGCGTCAAGTGATTTAAGTTCTTTCTGCTGTTCCCTCGAGTGATGGCAAACTGGAGTAGACCATGCCCGTGCAGTATCAAGATGTTGAATGTTTCTTGCATACTGAACATACTGAACCTTACATCAGGACATGAAGTCGATCATCATGTAGATCCTATCCTGCAGTAAGCCGCCTTACTTTCTCACTCTCCCTGCCATCGATAGTCACAAACTGGATACTTCAAAGTTACCTTTGCATTGACTGCATCAGGTGATGCCATCAAGTCCCACTCAACAAAACTGCCTGCACAGTGATCCGTGTGCGCAAGACTACTAGTCCAGTTGTCCATTGGCCAATTATGAAATACCGCACGCTGGAACTTACGCACCATTAGTGCGCAATGCGCGATGTGCTGCCCCCATGTCACCCATAAGTAGTCAAACTCCCCCTGAAACACCTGCTCCTTGCTCACGAGTTCCTTGTCGTCACCATAAGCATATGACCAGTTTTTAGCGTCCCATTCGTCGCCGAGTTCGTGGTCGTAGCATTGCGGTGGCACCCAGGCGAGGTTGTTCGATTCGAAGATGCAGCCGCGGGCTCTGGCTGCAGCAGGAGTGGCGCCACAATGGGCGATCGGTATGGGCAGGTTTCGCGATGTACTAGCGCTTACTTCGACGTCTGGCTGTTGACGTATGACGCTGCCGCCGATTATAACGAGTGCCAATATGGCAAAATTGAGGGAGATAAGCAAATACAGGAGTTTGATGTTTGAGCTTAGTTTCGCGAAAGAAGTGTCATAACTCATGATAATAGTATTGAGGCTCTCTTTGTGACACCGGAACTTCCACGCCGTAGTAGGACCGAGGTGAAAGCGAGCATGAAATTGGGTAAAGAAATGAAGACGATGCAGTTATAGGAATATTCTGATCATACAGTGATATGAGTTACAGATGAAATGGAGATAGAAAAATACATCGGATATTTATTAACACTGGATACTATCATGAATTTAAAAGTACCGAAATTTGACAAAAATGCCCGAGATATGGAGAGCAATTCCCTTTTTCTTTTTGAACACGTGCATGTTGTGGTAAGATGACGGCTAGAAGAGACAACAAGCAAGATAGACTAGTACCAAGTCTGTAGACAGAATAATGAATGCATACTGGTCGCTATGTACAAGGTCCTAATTCCACTAAACAGACATATGATGTTGGCCATCATGTTTCAGGTGAGAGACGTAGCGCATCTGCTGCACTCGAGTTCATCAACACAGGGACAGGCATGAGTAGTGAAAGATCAGTCGTGCGCAAAAGCAGACGCGAGCAATGCTCTACATGCGGCAAGCCGTCGAATCTCTGCTCCATAACCACCTTAGTATCTCTTTGGCGAAATTGTTTTTGCCAATAGAATAGACAATGAGCCCTATGCCAGTATCGCGATGCCCAAAAATGACCGCCTGTGTCACCAAGTGCGGCTATCTCCTCTACAGAAAGGCGCCGGATGCCTTGCTGATCCGCAAAATAACTCCACTCTCCGTTAGGGCCGTCTCCAGACTTGTCGAACTTGGCTGTCAACTCTGCATCCCGACAGTAAGGCGGTAGCCAGGATGTGGAAAGCGTATCATAGACACATTCCCGCCGAAGTGCCTCTTCAATGTTGGCTCCACAATCACAGAGGTTAGTTCCACGGGCCAATGTTTCAGGATGGAAGACATCCGGCTCAGGAACTAGGAGTTTGAAGGCGTACAACGTGGCTATACCTAGGATCCAACCCGTGATTATGCAGCACACAGGAAGAATGGCTGCCGTGAGCGGATGTCGTTGTTGGCGTTGGCGCTTTCGTGGAGACTTGGTCTTGCGGACATTTGGCGGTGCATGACTATGCTCCAGATCGGAATCTGAGGCGGACGAGACGTCGGAAAGAAACGGATCGCTTGATTTGCTCATGATGAAGTTTGATTTGATTATAGGTGATTTGGAGGAATCCACATGTTACTACTCGAACGCCAACCTGCTGGCGCAGAAGGCGCTCACAGGTAAGCGGAAGGCGATGATATTGACACCGCCTTGTTCACCAAAAGCGGAAATATGATAAAGTAAACTCGGGCATTCTTGGACTGAATGTAAGCTGACCGCGGTGGTTTTGGTTAGTTTCGGGGCTATGCAGGTTGTAGTGCTTATTGCTCTGTCACTTGCGCCAAGCTTTGCCCAGGTGGATTGACAAAGCCATGTAAAATTAATACCCGTCAACATCGAGTACAGGAAAGAAGATATCACGATGAGGATTGCATAAAATACGGATTGCTGGTGTTAGGATATGTTCAAATATTGTGATGATGGTGATGATTGCCAGCAGCGTCAATCTTGATCTGGCCTAGTGACCCCTCTTTCCAACTGTAATCGCATGTTGGAAATTTCAGATGCAGCACGTCGAACCCAGCGGTCGAATTTTTCCAAAAGTCCCATTTGACAATCATTTCCGCACAGTGATTCGTGTGGAAATAACTGCTCGTCCAATTATCCATCGGTCGGTTGAACATAACAGAGCGGTGGTATTTGCGCCATACCAACCCACAGTGTGTGACGTGTTGAGGCCAGGTAACCCATACTGCAGGTACATCTCCTTTCTGAGCTTCTTCCTTGGAGACGATATGCTGGCCGATTCGGTCAAGCGTCATTGGCCAATCATATCTATCGTACCATTCTTTTGAAAGCTCCTCGTCGTAACACTCGGGTGGAACCCATGCGAAGTTGTGGAGTTCAAAGCGACAACCGCGTGCTCTGGCCTCATGAGCTGATTGACCGCAGCTGCTGAAAGAGATTGGATGGTTTGTAGTTTTTGCGTGAGAAGACGTGGGGCTTAAGCTGGTTGCGGACGTCAAGCAGAGACGTGAGTGTGTACTTTTCGACTGGTACAGTACTCGAACCCCCAGAAGTAGTATCGTTGCTGTTGAGATATGCAGGAGCAGAAGAATGTACAAGGGCCACGGTTTAGCTTCGCGGAAGTCTACTTCTTCTTCGTTCTCTTCTTCGAGATTTGTGTACGAGGTTTTTTTGGATGGAAAAGGCCAAACCATGTTAATGTAGAAGGTACCGAGTAGTAGGAAGGAGTAGCCTTGAAGGAAATTGAGATACAATGTATCTAGCATCCGACGCGCTGCTACTACATGCACACGAGGCTCAGTAAGCCACTTGTTCTAATTCGGAAATATTCTTCACCTATTCCCGAATTTTATTGAATCATCCGAAGCACAGCTATCGGATGGCCATTTTCTCCTTGTCGCTTCCCCTTTTGTGCCCTGCTTAGATAGTGCTTACGTATGTCAAGCCCCGAGAGAGAGACCCTACCAAATATCTCCCATGAGAGAGATATTGGAATTCTATAGACAATGACTTGTTTGTCAAAACCCACGCGCTCCCACATCTCACTATCTGTTTATTCACAGAAATCCATGCATAATAGCTAAGCTTCATGAATGTGTGTAGGACCATATTGGTAGGCCTTGTATTCGTCGATTCATCTATCTGCAGGGCACCATACGATATGGGACTCTGTATCATGTAGATCTCTGGACATGAATCCAAGCAGTTACATTTTCCACGCCGTATGGTACTTCAGTCGGGTTCCGAGATCGCTTAGTACGCGATAGTCGACTTGTCGTCGCTGACGTCCTATGGCTTGTCGTCATGTGGCTTGGTGGGTCTAGTAGATAACGACAGCCCACTTCTCGTCCTCGGCGCCCTGGGGCTTAGAATCGCGGGCTTTGTAGGAGGCTGCTGCCTCAACCGCAATGTCAGGGGAGTTGGCGGCAGTGGGAAGAGCCATGGAAAAGGAGGTCATAGTAACAAGGAAGATGACGAGTTGCTTGTAAAACATGTTGTGTGATTGGATTTGGTGGATTCCAAAGGGAGACTGTTTGGTTGATAAAGACGTAGAGAGATAAAGTTGCAATGGATGTGTCGGACGCTTGATGCAACTTGGTAGTGGTATGTCTAGCCCTTTCTTATACTTTGCTTCATGCCTATTGTCCGTTTTCGCCTTTCATTCGGTACCAACATGTACATGATTCATCGATTGGGGCTGGTACTTTGCAATTACAACTCGGGTAATACTATGACTGCCCAATCACCAAAATCTCCGATCAATCTAATCTACGGAGATTGAGGCAAAGCTGCACGTCATACGAATTCTCCACAGCTTAGGAAATGTCCGACGTTAACCTTACACATTGGCTGGCTAGCAAGACAGGCTGATGCGCCCACGATCAAGCTGGTGTCGATGTTTAGCAATGAGAGCCATTTCCAATCCCCCCTTTACCATCTGAATATGTTTAATATCCTACACTTCCGGTCTGATTCTCCCGATTATTCCAAGCTAGAGACGGGTTCGGCCTCTACCTTGAGCGAGCATGTAGAACCGCGCTATCACTCTTCTGTAGGACAAGAGAATGTTACACCACAAAGACGATCCTGGCTATATTGCCACTGGATTGCTGTCGGAGTGCATTCTCTTCTTGTTATCGCAAACATCACTATCTACATTGCAACCACCAATAAGACATGGGACCCTGCGCATGCTTTAAGTAAGTCTCCATAACGAACCGTTCTTAACCCTTACTTATGATGGTTTTTCCTAAATAGCACCCGTAAATAACGTGATCAAGTATGAATACCGTCGTTTTGAGGATGTTCCTCTGCGACTTTACAATGGCAGCATGAACCCTGACAAGCCCACGGACTTTGGGGGAGATCCCAGACCTGCGCTCTCAGTGGCTTGGAGAAATCTAACAAAGAGTAAGATGGCGGTATCTATACATGCAGTATGCTTTGACTGATAAATGTATGCAGATCAGAACTTACGCTTGACAGAGGAAGATCTCGGCCAGACTTTTGTAGATGACAGTGTTGTCAAATTGACCGACGGAAGCGGCGTGTTCGCCACTCTTACTGTCTTCCATGGACTTCATTGTATTGAGAGGCTGCACCATTACCTCTACTTCGATCACTACTACTCCACCTTCACTGAAGAAGAAAAAGTACTCTTGAAATACCATACAGGTAAAAACGCCAGCCAGCCTTCCGTAATATATACTCACGACTTTGATGACTGAACATAATTAGAACATTGTTTGGATTGGCTGAGGCAATACGTTCAGTGCAATGCTGATACGACGCCTCTAATGATGCACTGGATAAAAGAGTAAGTAGGCCGAGACGTACAATGCATTTTCTGCATCTATCAGCTGCCGCAGCAGCTAACTATAGCTTCAGAGGGCCATTGCCTATCGCCAAGATTAAGGAGGGAGAGCATTCCTGCGTAAATTGGGAACGACTCGATGAGTGGGCTGCTCATCGTACTTTTGTTCCTTCCGACGACAATATGGAACACCCTGTGTATGGTACGTACCCTTGTCATTCCGTCAGAAAGACAAAACACTCATTCTTTGAACTCAGGAAAGCCTTATAACTCGAGTCTGAACAAAGCGGTCGGTATCTTGCATACGAAAGGGGCTCATTTTGTGACATCTAACGGCACTATATTACCAGATCGTTGAATTAGTTAACTTTCTGTAGACAATATGTTAATCCACACGATGTATCTTCTCTTCTTTGGCTACGTCATATCTGGTGTGCTTTTTCATCACATGTATCTTTTGTAGACGATGGATATTCATTGTTTGTGATACAATATAAGCGCTAGAACCCCTAAGAAGAGACATGAAACCTCGCCCAGGCTTGCGCAGCCGACACAGCCAAACTCGCTCCTGCTAGAAGCAGCGTCGTGAACCCAAAGACGACCACGGCCTGGAAGGTAAATCAAGTGTTTGAATCCCGATTATCCCTCTAAAGCGCGCGAAATCGGTGTGGTTTCCGCTCCCCATGTATTCAATCAACGTCTGAATGCACTCTGACAGAAAAGGGTATGCGTCATATGAAGTCTTCTACGAGAAGCCTGCCTTCTCTTCTTCATCTCCTTCACTGTCATCCGATTCTGTATCATCCATAACACGGCGGTGGCCGAGCGGGTTGAGTTGTATCCGACGATCAATAGAGAGTCTGCATATTTTGCTCCTCCTGTCCCCCCGAAGTGTGCTAATGGTTGCCTGCTTCCTTCTCTTGGAAGGTCTCGACACAAAGGCTACCAGTTTTGACAAATGTGTAGTTGAAGCCTCGCTAAGCAGATCTTCTTTACTCAACGGCTCCGGCCATCAAGGGCAGCGGTAGAGCGTCATGTACCTACATAGTTGAAATCTCTGGTGAATACACACCGAGACTGTAATATCGGTAAAGGAACAGACCAACAAATTTTCCAACAACCGCCAGCAAGTGCCCTCTATGGCATTTGACAGAAGAACAGCGATAAGAGGATAAGATAAAAGATTGCACCGTCTTTTGTGCGATTCAACCTGGCATGCAGCACCACGATGAACGCCTGGCTGATGCAGTAAGCGTCAACGGCATCGGGATGACCCTCAAAACCACCGTTCCCAAATGATGATATGGAACGATTTTGATATCGTCACCTAACAGAACTTCTCATGCAGTAAGCCTCAACTCACCAGTTTTCATAGTAGCGACACTAGTACTAGAGTTTAGTTAACCCGAGGCACCACCCACCACCCCCAAAACTACCGCATCCAAAAGTCTCCACATAATTACATCGACGCAGCAAATTTGCGATCGAGGAGGACCACCAGCCCAATTCCCAGCTGACCGGTCGCTAACTAACTGCCAATCAGATGTACCGCGATAATCAGTATTGATGTGTTCAGGCTGGAAATGGGGATTGCATGCACATCGTTCAGCTCATGTCGATGCCATACCCAACAGCTCCTGCCACTGATGTCGGACTCCTCCTTCCCATGAGCGGGACAACAATCAACGGCCGTATCATCACTTCAGTCTCGGCAAAAACCAAGCAAACTCATCAGAAAAGAATATTTAGAAAGTTATCAAAGGCTGGGGTAGAATCCAAGACCGCACGTAGTCACACAACTGAAGGTACAATATACCCACCCAGCACCATCCAAAACTCGCTCCAACGCCAAAGCAATGCCAATCACCAGCAGAAAAAAAAGCTCGATTCCAACACCTTGGCACCATCAACAACTGCCCATCAGACCAAAGTCACAGCAGAAGTCAACCCAACCAAAAACACTATACACCCCAGACCTACACCCAACCTCCCCGCACCACTCGGCGCATTAAGCTTGACAACCGCGCCCGGGAAATTACACGTCAACTTATTAGGATCCGGATCTCTCTTCCCATACGCCACGTCCCTCAACTTGCCATCCGGACACCCAAAGCCAAGTTTCGACGGACAACTACGAACAATATCAAAGCACATATCCTCGCAGGGCTTCATCTCCTTGTACGGACCGGGTTTGATCAACTCGTCGATACGCGGGTTACGCGAGCTATTGAAACCAGCGTGTTGACGTAGCGTGTCGTTGATCTGTGGAGGAGCCGGGGCCATGGAGCCATCTGGGGGTGGTGGGGGTAAGCCGTCCATGGGCAGTGAGCCGTTGGAAAAGGGCGTGTTGACGTTGCGGGGTTGGAGCCAAGGGTCGTTTGCGGTCCAGTCTTCGCAGCGGGGGATGAGGACCATGCAGAGCCAGTTTTTGTAATCTCGTTCACAGTCGTCGCATGTGCGGGCGAGAGAGTATTGTGCGGCGGGTTCGGTGTCGCACGCGATTTGTGACAAGGATCTGGTGAAGTTGAGGTAGTAGTCGCGGGCTTGGTTGTCATAGATTTCTGCTAGGGCTGAGTCGTTGAGTTTGAAGTTTGTGTTGGATGGGACGGCGTAGGCGACTTTGTCGCAGAAGTCGAGGTCAAAGATGACTTGGCATGAGTCGTCTAATGGGTCGTTAGCAGAGTTATCAAATCGAAACATTGAGGAGAGCATACCAGCTTTGGTAGTCCAGTTGAAGGCCTGGAATACTCTTCCACCACCCCTTGTCATGCCCGCGTTGGGTATGTATAGTGGCTCCTGACTTCCCTCTACCACCACGAAACCATTGTAAGTCCTCGCAGCCTGTAGGCCCTTGACGTGAAACTGGGTCTTGGGCTTGTTGTCGCCACCGAACTTTGTAGTGATACTACTATCGATAGTGAAGTTTTTAGTGTTGTTCACGTTAAACATGTCTTTGATTGCGCAGTACGAACGCTCCATGCCTCTGATTGGGGTATTGTCTCCATCCATAAAAGCGTACATCTGGAACGGATTTTGCTCTTTCCACTTGTTGACAACCTCGGTCTCGTTTGAGTCACCTAAATCATAGGTGATGAATAGTGCCGACTCGCTGTCTGTGTCTACCATGTACAGAAAGGGATCATCGTCGTTGTAGTTGTGGTATGGTCCATCGGTACTTGCAGCAAGTTCAAAATGCCAACTTCCGAACCAGTCATCGTTCAGGCTAGGGGCCGAAATGCCAATATACACATCTGAGGAGGTGTTGAGTTCAAAGTTGGCGTAGCCACCATCGAAGAGGACGCCAGTTATGTTTGTGAGAGTGTTCTCAGTAGCGCCTGGTCCTGGCTTCTGGTTGTCCGGCGAAGTTGAAACATACATGACGAGTTGGGGGTGGTTTCTTCCAGATGCTGCAGTCGCATTGCCCATGGGCATGGGCTGTTTACAAGTGTTTGCTGTCAGCCAGATATTGCCACTGCGAGTCTGTCGCTTTTCCATCCCTTCAGGAGTGGTGCCCTCTGTACCAGCAACTTCTAACCTACGCAGCCTAGCCTCGTCAGAACCATCATTCATTCCCCGTGCTTCCGGAGCACTTGCGGAATCGCCATTAATTGATGGGAAGCGCAGCTGGTCCCTTTGAAGCACAAAGTGTACCGTTTCCCTTGGGGCAATATCCTTCGCCATCTTTTGATTGACAACCAGCCTCTCTATCTCGGCGGTTTGACGTCCAATGAGGCTTCGGTCGAGTATTCCAAAGTCTGGCTCATAGCCCTCGCTTCCTCTCTGATCAAAGCCTGCATCCTGTATGTGCGGCAATTCTCCATCCGTGAGCGCATCAAGTACGCGACCGTCAAGCGCGTCATGATTGGGGATCGTGAGCACCTCCGCATTCACTAGGAGGTGGGGTGTGAAGGAAGTCCATAGCGCAAGGCAGGCAGAAGACGCGACGAGGTAGGCGAGCAGTCTCGACTGCAAAGGCGAAAGCTTGGGGCGTTGCATTGCCCTCTCCACTAGCTTATCGATAGAACTGGGGACGCATGAGGGAGCGGTGTGCGCAAAGGGTGCGCTGTGAGGTAAACGAGCGGCACTTGGTCGGATTGGTAGGTATTAGTGATTTGTGCAAACGATGAAGGTATCCAGGGCTTAAAGGACAAAAAGAAGGGATTGGTGGGGTGCTGGCTGTTGTACCGTCGTCTCAAAGTGAGCCGCAACGTTGCACCCTGCCAAGACATAGTGGCTTCCCGTACTGTGGCGCAGCGGACCCACTTTGATTGTCATTCACGCAACGCAACTACTGCTACTCCTGCACTACTCAGCATGTTGGCAGGAGGTTTTGCATCAAGAATCCACTCATCATCCAAGCACAATATGGTTCAATGGAATTCAAGGATGAATTGTCGATGACGTGTTCAGTCGACCCTACCAGTGTGCCTGCAAGAAAGCGTTCAAGATCTCCAGAAAGTGACTTGGCTACTCAAGAGGGGTTAAAAATTTGGATTACCTAGTAAAATATTGGGAAGATTGGCCAGAATATGCTTAGGGTCCAAGCACAGCAAGGCACTCGCGCTATCATTTCAATGTTAAATGCTGTAAGATTCGTTCAAACAGGGCCAGACTTTCCAGCTCAACGGCCAGCGACGACATGCAGTCAAGCAAGGGTAATTCTACGTCTCCAAGACGACAGTTCATCGACATTGGGAGTTTGGAATGAAGAAGAGCCATTCCAGAAGAAACGAGGCAGTCTGTCTTCCATCGAGTCGTCGTAACATTAGAAATGATGGTGTGTTCGAGCTGGGGAAGGATTTCCGGCAAAGAGGCGAAGAGCCGATGGTGGGTCGCACGAATGTAGTCACTACATAACAAAACAAGAGGAAAGTCCACGAATGGGCAAACAATGTCGACACTCCAAGCTCCATAGTCACATGTTCCCCCATCTCTTGCTTTACCACAAGTGAAAACGCCGTCATCGATCGGGGTTTCGGCACGCATCCGCAAAAGGCGCATTTTGACCATGTGACGAGCAGGATTTCTTCCTCTTTCGTCTTGACATGGTGAGCGTGATATTCGCTGCTTAATGCAATGTAATATAGTTCAAAGGTACTGGTAGTCAGCGGGAGTAATATACATGCCGCAGCACAATATATTAAGCCGCCCGAAGAGAACCGGGAAATGTGACTGCGCGAGCCAGCTTTGCACCCTGGCACTCATATATGCAACCGGGTTACAGGAAACTCGCTTGAATGGTGGCGTTGGTCAAGAAGACGTCGAGACTTTGCATTGCGACATGAGAGAAGCATTGAGAGATGCGTAGGTGTTGAGATGGGTTGAAGATGGTAGAAGGGCAAAGGGCGCTAATGACTCATGGCGGCTACCTAGCTCCGACCTCGCCTGCCAAGACCACAATCGACCGTGCTCATCTTCTTCACACATGCATGTGCCTGCAGCCACGCTAACTACCGTTCTGTCTTATCTAGCGACTGCCATGACATGGCAGCCTTTGTAGATGAAGTCAAGGCGACCTAAGTCCTAGGCGTCTTTGATCAGCCTCAGCTCTGCGTTCGTCCAAGCAGATGACAAGACAGCACCAAGCCTTAGCTCTAGCATCAGCCACCGGCCATTTGAACGAACCATACAAGAGTAGGCCCACCAGCTCGGCAACCGGATTGCACCGTTCGGCATCCGCTACAAGTACGTCGTCCATAGTACGTCTCATCAAATGCGGAGAAGGGCCGAGTCATGAGGCAGAGCCTTCTGTACAGGCTTCGAGAAGATCCGGGGCTGCAGGTACCATGTTTCGCCATCATATGACTAGGGACATGTCTCCGACTACGGCATTGCGGACAACAACACCGGCTGAAGTAATTTGGACATTGATGAAGTGGTCGTGATGATCACTTGCTAGCAATCATGGTTAGTGCCAGGGCTGGATCTCAGTGTACAAATAAGGGGTGAGTACGTCCGTTTCATTCTTCCTCACGCACTTCATCACACTCTCTCTTCCTCAAAGATGCTTTCAAACGTCCTCTTCACTGCTGCGCTCGCTGCGGGCGTCGCTCAGGCCCTGCCTCAAGCGACTGGCACCCCCAAGCCTACAGGCACCTCCCCCAGTATGACGACAGCTGCGGCCTCCGGCAACCCATTTGCTGGCTACAACTTCTACGCCAACCCATACTACTCTTCTGAAGTCTACACCTTGGCCATGCCTTCGCTTGCAGCCTCGTTGAAGCCCGCGGCTACTGCTGTAGCCAACATCGGCTCCTTTGTATGGATGGACACCATGGCCAAGGTCCCCCTCATGGACACGTACCTCGCAAACATCAAGGCCAAGAACGCCGCGGGCGCAAAGCTCATGGGCACCTTTGTCGTCTACGACCTTCCCGACCGTGACTGCGCAGCGCTCGCATCCAACGGCGAGCTCAAGATCTCCGAGGGAGGAGCAGAAAAGTACAAGAAACAGTACATTGACAAGATTGCTGCCATCATCCAAAAGTACCCCGACGTCAAGATCAACCTAGCCATTGAGCCCGACTCCCTCGCCAACATGGTCACCAACCTGGGTGTGGCAAAGTGCGCAAATGCTGCCCCTTACTACAAGGACCTGACCGCCTACGCCATCTCCAAACTGAACTTTGCAAACGTTGACATGTACCTCGATGGCGGCCACGCCGGATGGCTCGGCTGGGACGCTAACATTGGCCCCGCTGCTAAGCTCTACGCTGATGTTTACAAGGCGGCTGGCAAGCCCCGCGCTGTTCGTGGTATCGTCACTAACGTGAGCAACTACAACGCCTTCCGCATCGCTACCTGCCCAGCCATCACCCAGGGAAACAAGAACTGCGACGAGGAGCGCTACATCAACGCTTTTGCTCCTTTGCTTCAGGCCGAGGGCTTCCCGGCTCACTTCATCGTCGACACTGGTCGCAGTGGTAAGCAGCCTACTGGCCAGCAGGCGTGGGGTGACTGGTGCAACGTCTCAGGCGCTGGCTTCGGCGCCCGTCCTAGCACCAACACTGGTAACGCCAACGTTGACGCCTTTGTCTGGGTTAAGCCAGGTGGTGAGGTATGTTCTCTCATCTCCTCCTTACAATACACATTCAAACTAACACTCTGTCAGTCCGACGGTACATCCGACCAATCCGCCGCCCGCTACGACTCGCACTGCGGCGTCTCCTCCGCCTTGAAGCCCGCGCCCGAGGCCGGAACTTGGTTCCAGGCATACTTTGAGATGCTTCTCAAGAACGCCAGCCCTGCTCTTGCATAAATGCAGCGTGGCAGTCATCAACCGTCAACTTTTGTCAGACATGGAATACGGACACAATAGACGATAGACGCACTTCTTCTGTAAATATCATTATAGCTAGCTCAAGTAGATTAGAAAGGAGATGAACATCCTTTGTACATGGAATCAAGCATGCCAACCTACACACTTTCTCCCTCTCTCCCCTCTTACCCCCCTGCCCCGCTCCCGCAAACCCCCTCCAAACTCACAAAATCTCACTATGACTCAACAACTGATACAACAAATCCATCTCCCTGGCCTTCTCAGCAGGTGTAAGCCTGTATTCAGGGACGAACAGGGATGTCGACGCTGACGAGGTGGAGCATCTTCTACTATCCATGTCCAAGCCCATCTCCCACACATTCCCCTCCGTCTCACTCGCGCTCCACCCTCTGATCGACTCCGACTCCGACTCCGACTCCGAATCACCATCAACAAACCCACCATCACTATCATACTGTGATGAATTGCCTGTTGTACTATCTAGACTACTCGCCGTGCTTGTCCTGTGGTTCCAAATACTATACCCATTCTTATAGTGTGGGTGGTCTTGGGCTAGTCCCTCTTCTTCATCTTCATCGCTTTCATCGCTTCCATCGCGTTCTTCAACAAAATCTGAGTCGGAGTCTGTCTCATCCTCATCCTCGTCCTTATCCTCATCTGTCTCAATGTCGGTGTCAACCCGATAGTCCAAACAGCAGCTTGGGTCTATCTCGCTTCCACTCTCTTCATCTTCATCCTCATCCTCACTCCCCTCTTGCACATCCGCATCCGCATCACCCAACCCGTGCACTAAAACACCCTCCTCACCTCCTTTCCCAAGCGCCTTAGCGACGGAGCGTGTGAGTACTGTTCGGTTTTGCAGGACCTGTTTCGCAGTTTGTGCGGCGATGCGGGTTGATTTGCGGATTTTGGTGGTGGTGGTGGTGGAGTTTTGTTTGTGGGTAAGGGAGCTGCGGAGGGGGGGGTGTTGGGGACATTAGGTTTGGTTTGGTTGGGTGGGTGGGTGGTGGAATGATGATTAGTAATGTAGATGTGTATGTTAGTTACTGTATCTTTTAGTAGTTAATTGTTTTGGCAATATTTGGGTGACATGACATGACTCCGTACCTCCAATACTTCTACCATATGGGAGACAAGGGGATAAAGAGACCATGTCACCATCAATGGATCGGGCCTGGTAGCACTCTCTCGACAAGGGTATTGTGTACGCAGACAAAGAAATACTCGACCATCAAGGAACCAACCACACAATGTCACTATCAAATCACATACAGAAACTTCATTAACAATGTAAATCTGTTTTGAGATTCAGTATGACATGTTTACTACGATAAATGCTACAAAATTATGTGCAGTGCAAGAACAAACGCCGTCCCGATGCTCTCAGGGGTATCGTTTCATACCAAATGCTTTTCGATCGCTGGTTTTAATTAACCAGATAGACCCGTAAACGCCAGATGATTTTCTTCCCAAGTGGGTCCGGAATGGACTTTCATCAACACTACGGTGACACCAAGGGGCCGTGGAAGTCGCGGAGCGTCGCCACCAGATCATCCTCACGGAACAGCTGTAGAGACAACTTCTCCTGAACCTCCTTCCACTTCTTCAGCGCGTCCAATTCCCCCTTGCTTAGCCACTTTTCCTCATTTCCGACGACATCAGAACGCTCGGCTTTGGTGAGTAGGAGCTGGACCTTTTCCCGCTCGAACGAAATGCGTTGGAGGATCCTCACCATGCCCTTGTAGGTGTCATGGAGGAGCTTCTCGCGGGCGCGTTGACGATCATACCAAACAAGGTGAAGAGAAAGTTTGGCCTCGCGTCTGTCGACCTTGGGAATTTCCTGAGTCTGTACAAATCCCTGCACGGTAAGGTCATTAACAATGCCGCGAATATCGTTTGGAGACATCATCATGACGTTGCATAATGCGCGCTCGTCGAGTTTTCCCTTTTTTTTCAAAGTCCGAACGAGCTTGACTCCCAAGATGCCTTTTCTCGCTGAAATCGTGTTTTCAATCTCCGCCTGGATCAACTGTCTCGCAAGCTCGTCGAATTCGATGCGCCATTGCGAGTACCCAGAGCGCGAGTGCCAGGTGACGAAATGATAAGGATCTTCAGACAACATCTGAATGTGTTTGTCTATAATCTTTGTCTTTTCGTCCATGTGAAGGGTCGTGGGGTCCGTGGGCTGCGACCAGACGGTATTCCTATTTACATGTCCTTTGCGGGTGAGTTGAACGGCAGCATGAGGATCGATGTCGTCGAAGATGTCTACGTCCGGATCACGGCTGAGCTTGACAGCTACATCGCGCGCAGTGACGAGGAGGGTGTGGTCGATGCTGGCGTCTGCAGGTTCTCCGCCCGGTAGTGGAGGATCTGGCCATTCTTCCCAGCAGCGCGGGATTTTGGACTCGAGCATGCGCAGCATCGTCTGGTATACACGCGCGGTAACGGACCCTAGTCGTTGCTCTACCACACTTACGAGCTGTTCTGTCCGCATAGCAACGGCGATTTTGTCTGGATTGACGCGGATGACGAGATCATCGTCTGAAGACGAGGCTGCCCAGCCATTCGCACCGTTCATCTTAACCCGCTTGTTTGAACCGTTTGTTTGTCGGCCTCCAGCAAATCCTGGGACTTTGAGCCATTCGTCACGCATCCTTCTTTTGCGCTCTAGGGTCGCCCTGTTGACTGTATCTTTGTCTTTTGTGCCTGAAGGTTGTACTCCCCCGTTGTCCTGTTCTATGGATTCTTGGTAGAGCAAATCGTGCATATCGCCTGGGGATAGGTATTGTGTCTCGGTGACGGTTCTGATCCATCCAGTCTCGATCAGGGTTCGGATGAGTCCATACAACTCCTCGACCGAGGTGATGTTGTCGGCCTGCGCGGGTTCTGGGGCGGCGTTGTGAGTTGCATTGTCGACCTTAGGCTTGTGCACGCCATTGGTCTTGACGTCTCCGTTGACCGAATCTACAGGTTCGGGCTTAGTGCCGTGTAGTTCGGACGGTAGTCCATTCGTGACTCCGTTTGTGACGCCGTTGGTCTTGGAATGGCCGTTGACGTGGGTGTCGTTTGTGCGCTTCCGCTTAGAACCCGCGCCGTTCACTGCGCCGTCGTCCATGTCGTCATCGCTGTCGGTCTCCGGTGGAAAGTATGCGTCTTTCAAATCGGCGA